TGAGAAAATTAGCATTTACATGAGAAACGGATATTTAAAAGATCGGCTTTCCATGGTGATTTTATATGATGAAAAACATTCGAACATTTTAAGCACATTAGAAAGGTATTGCCATAAAATGACGTTTTACGAGCATAAAATATGCCTTTTGATAGTAGAAGGTTTGACACAATTGTTTCATATTTTTGGCGTAGTGTTGAAGTTACACCTTCCTACGCCCCTGGTCTATTTCTCTGTGACCACCCCCTCCACCTTGAACACACAACTCTAGGCCTAGATATTTGAAACAACACTGAATTGACAAAAAAATGTGATATTGGAAAATATTGTCGAAATGTGAAGGTCGGGAGTGTCATCAATCACTCTCGCTCCTTGCACGTGTTAATGATTTAAAAGTTTAATAGTTATACAAAAAATGCCAAGTTTTGTTTTTTTATTCGTTTTTTCACCTCATACCCGTCTAATATTTGGCCATTCCTCGGGACGATTGATGAACATATTTAACTAGACATTAGTTGAAATTAGTTGAATCAATTGTAAAACCTGTCTAATCTGAATGCAACTGGGACCAGCCAAAATTATTCAGATTGACAGATGTTTACTCATTTCAAGGTTTTTAAATGGTGTATGAAAAAATTTGACTGAAAAAGTGTTCAAATAGCGAGATGTTCAGAGAAGAAAAGTTAGGAAAAACAAGTTTTTTTAGTTTACTTTTTTTTCAATTATTATATCTAAACTTTGCTATTGTTACAAAAACTCATTATCCATATAAATATCTTTATTTTTTAATAGTGGGTTCTTTAAGGCCTTAAATTTCCTCATTCGGCTTATTTCGTGAACTGACGTAATAATATACATCTTGAAGAATATTTCACTACTGAAAATAACTTTGAAAAAGAACTATTTACAAAACTGAAACTCAATGACCATTCATTAGAGATTGATGAAGCAGGAAGATACAAAAATCAGCGCTGTAGATGAACGCAAATGTATAAGATGTTCAAATAATTGTTTTGAAGATGAAGTGCACTTTGTTATGAGATGCAAAAAAAGTGAGTGCATTGTATTATTAGATAAAATTTAAACGTTAAATAAGGACTTTTCTAACATGACTGATGAAAATATTATGATCACACAAATCAAATATGGAGAAAGTCATGCATTTAAGAAAAGAAATCTATAACCTCACAACCATCACAACACAATATCTTTGTAGATTAATGTAACTGTAATGCAACTGTATAAATGTAGTTTGTATAATTGTAGTCTGGCCATGCCCTGATAACACAGTGGCCTTGACTTGAAGATTCTAAATTCTATAAAAATATGTATGAAGATTTTCTCCAAGATTTTCTGGTGACTCAACAGGAGTAATGCCCAAGGATTCAAAGGAACCTATCTACATGTAAAGGTACGCGAGGGTACGCAGGTGCGTACCCTAAATGATGGAGCAAATAAATTGTTGTAAAAAAGTAAAACAAAATAGAACAAAACAATGTACACAATAAATAAATAGGCCCCCATTACACAGTCTGATATCGCTTAGAACGCACCATGTAAGGTCTAAAATCAAAAAAATCCGGGGGGCATCCCCCTGACCCCCTCAGTCGTTTTGCTCGGCCATCGGCCTCGCGAACCTGCAATCAAAATCCTGGTTACCCTATAATAATATATATTGGTTAACTCAAGTAAGATTCCATGTCATCATCAAATCACCATTCTAAACATCTCGACCAAGACACACAGTAATAAAGACAAAAGAAAATATGACGAACGCGTAACAGTAATTAGGCCTAGTCAGATCATGAATGAATGGAAATCTTAAGTCCTTCTCGGCAACATTATTGGCTTGTTTGGCCCAAAACAAATGTAACAATGCTACGAGTCTTATGTATATTTTTACAAATGCATTTGCCAAAAAGGGTCAATAAGCTAGATTTTGACGTGTAAAAATGTCAGTGATTGCATTTTGTAATTTTGAGTTTCGTCTATTAATCCAAACAGTCGTGTTTTCAAGACGGCGAATCAAAATATCTCAAAGTCTAATTGAAAGCCCATGATGTGACTAACAATGATCCGAAATATTGGATTCATCCACGAAAGTAGGAATCTCTGACTGAAATAAAATCGAATGCTTATTAACACTAAAAATTGATTGATTCCAAAGTAAAACTCGAATCGTAGATCAGAAGGCGCGAAGTAGCCAATTACACGTTTACACGCAGTGTGTTGTTGTTTGGTAATTCCAAACAAATGGTTTATAAAACGAGTTCATTCCAGCAAAAATGGTAGAGATAACATTACATTTTTGAGCAGTTTAGACACCTGAACAGTTTGGCCTAGTTGGTTAGACTGGGGTCGAATGTACCGGGGGATACGGAGGTCCCGCGTTCGAGCCCCAGGTACGGAGTTGTTGATCATTGTCACTACGGACACCCGGTCCGAAGGTCCAACCGTATACCGGCCCTTGGCATGGGTTGGTTCTCTGGCCGCTCTTGCCGGAGACAGATTGTGAGACTGTGGTTGGTTCCTCCACTAACGTGCTTTGGTAGACTTCGGGAGTCATACAGTATGGTAGCGAGCCCCCACCAAGGGCAGTAGTGGAACGACACGAATCGGTCCCAGTATGGTTGCCTTGCAACTGAAGAGACTCGAGGAAATCATGCCATTCGCGGTGACCCAGAAAAGACTTTTGCTTTTTGATACAACTTTTTTAATTCAAATAAAAGAATGATGGCTGTAGCGTAGCCAGGGCATTCTTTAAGAAATATTCCTCTATGATGAGTTGATAATTAAAATTGTATAACTTTTGTTTTTTATTCAGTTATGTATTATGTTCTATTGACATCATTGAACCAAGCTCGTATTTTAATGGTGTTTTATGAAGTATAACTTTACGTTCATATTTCCGACGAAATACATTCAGAATAATGGTAATGATTTTTTGTAGCGCTCCATGATGAAGCAGAGGAGGAAATGTTTCTCGCGTCGTCGTTTCTTTTCTTCCTGGTTAAACCTCTGTGGACGGATACATGGATGGATGGGTGGACATAAATGGGATGGATGAACGGTTGGAAGAATCAATGAATGGAAAAACTTGTGGATGGATGAGTGAATTGATGGATGGGTTGATCGATCGATGGCTGGGTGGGTGGGTGGATGAGCTGATAAATGGATGGCAGTTACAGTACGAACCCTTTCAGATAACACAAGAGTAAGTATTCCGACACTTCTAAATACTAGATATAAATCAAAATAACAAGTTCCTTGCAATGCATCTTCAAATTTATTTATTTCATAAAAAAATACTGAATAGTAGTCATAGTACTAAACATATACTAAAATCTTCCATTTACATTTTCCACTGTAATTTATGGCCCGAGAACTTACAATCATAAAACATATAATGTAAATGTATATATCTTTTTACAACAAAAAACATTTATACAAGGTAAAACCTGCTAAATTGAAGACAACGTAATACTTGGCTTACACATGTGTCCCAAGTTCACAGGTATTTCTACTACACTACTTCATTACAGTCCTCCTCTACTATTTATTCTGTCTTCTAGTAATCTGGGAGTAGAGGAGGAAGAGGCTGCCTCCACATTCATTCAAATGGCACACACTATATAGGTATTATAATAGGGAGATCTGGGTGCAATATATGTAGGATACACTCTCCCAAATAAGTATCAATATTTCCAAACTTATGATGAGGGGTGTACCAAAATTAAGGAGGATAACAATGGGTGATGAAGTACAATTATTTATATGGTTTACATACACTCCCCTTCATAAGTATAGTACTATTTATGAAATTTGGGTTTCCATACTAATGAATAGAAGTGTATTACATGTATGTATGTATTACAACTTAAACATGAAAGTTACAGACAAAAGTGATAACAATATATATGAAATGTCTGAGTAATTAGGTTTACAATGATGATTTTATGCAAAATAAATCTTTAATAGTCAGTAACAGCATGGCTTTTTTAGTTTAATTAGGAAAATATAAGCTTGAATTCATAGTCATCATACATATGTACTATTTACAAAGATTAAAGGCAGAATCAGATCTTGCGACCAACTTATATACATTTGACCTACAATTATATTCCTAACAATCTCAAATATAATATCTCCCAAAAATTAATGATATGTTACTAAGTGGTGAAGTCATTAATGACTGAAAGATAATGATAGTGTCAAAATGAGGAAAAATGTACAAATTCTCCCAAATGATAAATTAACATAATGCATTATTGTAAAAGTCATTAGTTTACCTCAAATGAGAATTTTTAGAAAATAGATGTGACAAGGAATGATATGAGCTTAACATATTCTAAAATTGAAATAATGTTTCCCAAGAGTTCTTTTCAGGATCTTGCTAAACCTGATTCTGCCTTAAAGGGAGAAACCCAAAAGTAATTCTTCAATGAACCCACAATTGGTTTTAAAAATTGTACCCACAATACATATACATTGTTAAGCACCATATTTTTTCTAAATGTATATGTATGTACAATATACGATACATTGTATCTACATAATATACAATGTTATCAGTAGGTAGTAAGTCGACCTTTATGTACAATATATAGTTATAGTATATAGTTGTCATATCTATTATATTATTATGCAGTGAGCCACAGAATGTTTTGAGTAAAAAAGAACCAGTTTTTCAAGGATCTCATTCACTAAAAATAAAATGCTCAAGGTTTTAAGAGGTCAAATGACAAAATACATTGCGTAATATTTTATTGCAGACAATTAGTCTTATTTCTATGTTCCGATTCATCAAAATACAACCAGTAATTATCAAGTTACTAAATTCTAAACCTGGAACAGCATAAACATCAAAACTATAATACCAGTATAGTTTTCTATTCTCTACTCGACCAGGCCAGCTAGCTAAAATCATCACGAAATAATCACTACTTTAACATACTTGGTCTAGCTACAACCCCCTGTGATCCCCTTCCCAGTACTTGACTAAACAGGTATGAAAACCTCTCACACAGGGAGGTGTCTAGTGGGTAGGGGGGGGGGGCACAAAGGTGTGTAGCTAGACCAAATACTTGTAACATTATGCATATATGAATTTGTTCTTTGTTGTCATAGTAATCTTCAAAATATCCTTGTCTTGTCTTGCAATTGTCTGGTATCAAATTTTCTTTCTGTCCTCCCCTAATCCCGGACATTTACAGTAAAAACAATAATGGGGGCAAGGGGGACAGTATACTACATTTATAAGTTATACTTAAACCTTCCATAATATGGTAAACAATGTTTTGAGATCTAAGAGGATAAAAAACTGTATTTCTAAAAGGATTCACAATTAATATGGTGATTCTAGAGCCTAGAAAGTCCATGGTATTAAGAGAATAAGAGAAACATTCACTTACGTAGGTTTACTTTACTGCACATTCTATTTACAACTCAATGGCTAATTCTTTCTCTCCGGCTAACAAAGTAGACACAAATTCTGAACATGTTCTCAAGAAATGGCAAAACAAAGTGTCTGATTGAATGTTACATGCAACTGATCTGAGAAGTGTTTTGTTTCATTTACACGATTAAAAAGATTTAATACCAATTCAACTAAAATATACAATTGTAAAAATCCAGTTGCAGTTAAAACTATGAGGTGTACCCATCTAATGAAAGTCCATCTTCTATACTCATACTGCTCCGCCTGCTTAGAGTTTTGGGTGATGAGCCCATCATAGGGTCTCCATTAACTGGGCTATCGTCCATTAAGTCCTCAACTCCAGTAACAGAGCCAGATTTAGGCTGACCTAGACTTAATGTTTGTCCAGGCTTAATGTTTAGGTTTATTGCAGTTTGTTGTTTGAACATATCTGAGATTAAAGAAGAGGAGTCTTGACCTTCAGTACCAGCATTTATACCATGGGCCTTCATTGTCAATTCCAGTTGCTAAAAAATAAAATAAAACAATGTTCCTTAATGGATACAATCATAATTTGGAAACATGTTTCAGCTCGTACACATTCGTTTTTGTAAACTTTGTCAGTGTTAATTTTCACTCTGCATGTTTAATTAACAGGTTAACTGGCTAGTAAACATGATTAGACATACTATTCTCCCATCAATATTTGATGCTATTATAGTTCACATTTTTGCGACTCTAAAATTTCGCAACTATGAATTGTCGCAGATCTGTGACTTCTCAAAAATCCAGCTTCTTTTTTTACATTTAAGTTACCAATTCCTTAAAAAATAAAGGTTGTGAAAAAAAGATAATGAAAAATAATAATATTTCTACAATATGGTACCTTTAAAGAGTCCAATAAGAATCAATTGAACCTCTCCAAAAATATACATATGCTTAACTAACCTGTATCTTAAGTAACATCTTTCTATTCATTTGCTCAAGCTTTCTCTGCTTCTCTTCAGCTTGTTTCATTCTGGCTTGATCACGCTTCAGTTTTGAAATATAGTCAACTGATGCTTTGAGTATGGACCCTTTGTTCTGGCGCATATCACTAAAATATAACATTTTCAGTTCATTATTTTATCAATATTCAAATCTTAGTTTCTGTAAAACTCCTAGTACAGAGAGCAGATGGAACTGAAACATTATCACATTCAAGACTAAAATATGTATTAAATTTGAATTTCTGAGTTATAATATTTACTATAGAGATAACTTATAATAAAATCAGTTCCTGGTAAAAGAGGTATTCGCCAGGTTTTATCAAAGTAAAGTAAACCATTTATTGATAAAAAACATTTTCCATGTTCCTAAAGAATTAACATAGTAAGAATAAACAACAATGATGCCCGCAGGATTGTACTTACGGGTCATTGCATCTTGGCAACAGTGTTCCCAATTCTTTAATTCTGTCATTTATATTAAACCTCCTTCTCCTTTCAACTGAAAATACATGGAAAAAAAATTAAATTAGATACTTAAAGTAAAACAATTCGCTAAATGTACAATAAAAATGTAGATTAATTTTCTTCCATTTTAAAAATATTTTCTACTTCGAGAAATAAAAATGAGCCTTTAAGAAGAAACTGATTTAATACAGAATAGAATGACAATGAGCCTTTAAGGAAGGAGAAATCAGATCACAGTGCCAGTTCCATAATCATTCCAAACAACACAAATCGAAAGTATGTGATTAACAAATGATATCAATTTACAAAATTTCAAAGAATTGTATTTCAGACTTGATGCCAGGATCAACAAGTTGAGATCCAGATACAAATCTTCAACAGGTGGGTAGGCACAAGACTCGAATTATATCCAATGTCAAAGTTTGTGTGAGGCCTAAGGCTGGCACGAGTGCCTTGTTAGGCATAATGGGCACCTGCTACAGAACATCATTTTAATTGCATCACTGATTTTTAGTTTTACAATGGAAATTTCCTTCTTTTATACCATCTAGGTTTCAACAGTGCAGAATCAAATCCCAAAACAAACCCCACTTCAAAGGTAGTATCAGATCTATATGGAGTGACAAAATTGAAAGCAATATGTACAATCGACGTATCAATGTATTCCTTACAAGCTCAAATATAATACATGTATTTCCCAAAAGAACCAAGATATGTTATCCATTGGTGAAGTTATTTAAGATTCAAATGATATGAGCCAAAAATATTCTAAAATTATAAAATGTATCCCTTACAAGCTCAAATATAATATTTCCCAAAATAACCATGATATATTATCCATTGGTGAAGTTATTTAAGATTCAAATAATATGAGCCAAAAATATTCTAAAATTATAAAATAATTTTCGTTAAAATGATAGCTAAGATGATGATGAATACTTGCTAGATCTGATTTTGCCTTTAAACCAAAAATGATGAAAGTGGCTAAAATCAACATAAAGTAGAGAAAATACTGATAAAATAACAAGAAATTCCAGTAAACCAATCCATTTCTTCGAATTTTGAAATTCTTAGAATTTCTTTGTTTTTTTGCCTTACACAACCTATGACATCATTAATCTAGCAAATATACCCTGGATATTTTTCTGAAGCAAGAGGCAGGGTTTATCAATGAGGTCTATATATCCTAGCGGGACCACCTGTTGAACGTGTTGGTAATATAAAGCTCAACAGAAGAAACCCTGAATCCCAATTTGAAAACTAAAGGATGGATAAGTTAAGCAATCTCAAATGTTGACGTGCAGCCTTTTATGGAAGTCTAATAAATATGAAATGATAATTAACTCCTTAAAAGGCATTTTAAAACATACAGTATATGGAATAAATATTATTTCAAATATTTAGGGTACTTCTAGTTTCAAAAGAATGTCCAGATTTTTAAAGGGTTATGTTTCATTTTGAAAATGCCTGCAATCAAGGCACTGTAACTGATATACCTAGATGACAGTGATTTAGGAAGTCTCGAGACAAAACCAGATATTAAGTCAATTATGTCCTTAAAATCCAAAAGGATAATACGTAATGAATATAAATGAGCACTTGCGACAAAGTTGTCCCGTGAGGTTTGACTCACGTGGGGTTTGACACCCGTTTACTGGAAAATGAATTGGGTGAAAACAACAAGTTGGAGAGACAAGGAACCTTTATCTCTGTTTTATTTTCATTTTACCAAGAAGTAAAAATTCAATTATCAACGATGAAAGCTCTACTAGCATGTGATGACATATGATGCCTTATTTACAGGCAAATAAACATTTCAATTGTAAACACAGATCATCCCATATGTCAATTGTCATCACAGGCATTATGAAAATAAATGATAAAATAAAATGAAGTTGAATTGTAATGCATTGAAGAGTACAAACTATCAACAGTCAGCATAACATCTCCAAGTAATGAAAAAAGTGAGGCATTTCAATCAAATTTTGAAATATTGGAGCAGACAAACATATATATTGGACATGTTCAAGCATGCAAGTGTGCCAAAGTTGAGAAACAGTGCCATAAAAGAAGTTCATAGACTGCTTATCTTTGAGTAAAACTTCCAAAAGTACATCACAAGATAAGTAAGTGACACCAGACTCATTTATTTTCCTTTTATGTTTTTAGTTTCTTAATGGTATTATTTATGGTTCAAAATGTGCACACCTTCTGTTTGTCAGTGTCTAAGAGTACATTACATTGTCTGTGTTAATCTGCCAAATAAAGAATGGTAATCTAAAAGAAAACTTACTTATATTGTGGTTATCTTTCTTTTGTCGTTCTTTGGCCCATGCTCTGGCATCGTCGTTACACATAAACGGTGGGGGTTCATCTTTGACTCGACCCCCTAAACCAGGGCAAGATGCAGACGACTTCTGGTGATGGGCACCATCAACTATGAATTCATTGTAATCATTAGAATGTGGTAGCTGAAAAAAATAATAAAATAATAGAAATGTCTGGATTATGAACAATAAAAATTTTTAAATAGTGGCGCATGACACTCGAACTGTCTAAAACCATCATCTTCAAAATTATTCACAGAAAGCTTCTTAGCCATGTCTAGGGTATTGGAAAGTCTGATGCTACGTTTGATACCTTAAAAGCTTAAATCTTAAATCTTCAGAGAATGAACCACTTACAGTTTGCGCCATTCCTCCAATTTGGTTCATCTCCAGTAGCTGAAGTTCTGGGTCAATAGCTGCATCAACGGACTCCAAGCTGATGATATCACCAAGAAGGTCATCCATCTATATGATTAAAAAATTTTAATTGTAAGACATGACTACAAATTTCACTGATGCTCCTCAAAATAACACTTTCTTGATAGTTTATACACAATGACATGATTGGAAATACAATATATTCAAATTGCATAATTCAAAAAGTTAAAGGGTCACATTGGTTCAAGTCCCCAAAAGCCTAAAGCATATTGATTTAATCTGTAATTTGAAATAGTTAATTAAGTGTCCTTAAGAACTTAAGTTTTGGATGGTCTGGATAAGGTTAAAATGTATCCTTAAATTATGTATCCTCAAGCAAAGAAAATGAAACAAGTGTCAAAATGGTATACTCTGAAACATGGAGTATACATATAAGTTAACAGGCATGAACTTAAAATTCTATATTCTATAGAAATGAAAGACAAGGCATTAACATGAAAAATGTCACCACCTGTCATTTGTAACAAATGTTGAATGATGAACACTATCCACAAAATATTTGGAGATTATAACCACTTTGTTGGCGACATAAAAATCTGACACCAAAGATTAAAGAGAGAAATAGAAAGCGGAGATTGATATTTTTTCACTGTTTAGTAAATAAGAATCAACTATTGGGACAACTGCAAGGCATTAACAAGCAACATGTCACCACCTACCATTTGTTACAGATGCCAACCACTGAGGATCAACTACCAGTTGCCAAATGCCAAACCCAACCACTGACACAAACACCATCCACAAAAAGTTGGTGACACTTATGGTGGTGACATAAAACCAATTTAAGCATTCACATTCTCAATTGAAGAAGAATCTTTTGTTTGGAATAACAACTTTTTGAATAGATTAATGGAATAGACAAAAAATTCATAAAATTACTTTATAATATAAAGATTCTTTATTTATTACATACCAAAGTTAAACACTGAATAGATAACGCGAGTAACAATGTGTCATGTAATTACAATATATTTGCATTTATAATTCATATATTATTGTCTTAATGTATCTTCTGCCTTCAAGGCTAAATATAAGATTTCACTTCTATCACCATGTTAAGCGTTAAGTTAAGTACAATGTACCCGAAGTTCTGATCTTAATGAACTTGAAATTACAAGGACTAATTAAGTGTTTGCGTCATGTAAGCAAACGTCTTCGTGTTTAGCCTCAAGATGATTGTAGTTTCATAACTTCAAATTTCATAATAAGAAAATAGTTAATATTTAGCCACTGGTTAAGTGTTGGTAACAATAAAAAAAAATAAAAATATGAAAAATTGTTTATTTTCAATTTCAGTTTGCTGACTATAAATAAATCAGATATCATATCAGATTGATCAGTTAATACAAAGATCACTTGATCAAATCATAAAATAAATGAAAGTGACAGGTAAGATCACTTGGCCCAATCTAACACTCAAATTTCTATTGACCATTTTTAATTTAAAATTTCAGAAAAAATGAACCATATCTTAGTTGAAATCAAATAAAGGATATAACATTCTAGATACCATGCTAATATTTCTGTATATCAAAAACAAAACATTGATTCAAGAGCAACTATGAACGTTTAGTCACCTAGCCACTGGGCAATTTAGACATTGGCACACGACATATGAATTAATTAAAATAGATTAGAATATCTTGATACCCTATAGATACTTTGTTGACTTTTATTGCTTGAAACATTTTTTGAAGTTTTGACCTAAAGCTAAATATAATGTAAAATAAAAATCATTTAGAATATAAAAGAATCACTGCACTAAAGGATATAAACAAACTTATCCTAATTGGTTCCCTCCAGCTCTGATTAAACGTATAGAAATGACGTCAAACTGATATAATTTTATTTCTATTAATATTCTATCTATTCCTTCGTATGGTTTTGCAATTGTTCCTTAATTAGGAAATTGATAAAAAGCCCCCCAAAAACTACAATTGTTAAGCAGAATTAAATGTCAAATTGGTAATTTTATTTCCATTAATATCTACTCCTCAGTATGATTTTGTAATTGTTTAAGCTTAATAAGAAAATCATTTTTCTAAAACCCAAAATTGATTAAAAGCCCCCAAAATACTACAATTGTTAAGCAGAATTAAATGTCAAATTAGCTGACTGCCAAAAAACATTAAAGGTAGTTAAATCTAAAAATCACAGACTGTATAATTTAGCTTGCATTATCGGACACTAGTTCATCAAGTCATGCCTCAACATCTTTGAACTTTACAAAATATAATTTAATTTCTTCCGACACAACAATGTCAGCATGCGCCCTTTTACCATTTTCAAAGTCTCAAATGAGTGCAAATTTTTCACTAACAATTTACTTTTCACTTGGTGCATGAAAGTTCTCAAGTTATCAACTAAGTTACTTTACATCATGTTATGGTCAATGTCAAGGTCAAATTGTTTAAGCGCCTGTTTGCTTTAAAAATGGATCATCACCAATTGAATAATCCTGAAAAGGATATATATTGGCATTGAAATGATTCTGAGCAGTTAAAGAAATTATATATATGTATACATTCACACGCTAAATGAGTTGACCTACTTTCTATGGAAACGCTAAATTGATAAACTGATCTCAAACTTTGGGAAATGATTCACCGATTATGCAATTTAAAAAATATATTCATTAATTCATATATGTAATAAAAAAAACAACGCTATGATCTACTTCGATGGTTTTGTATTATTGCTGGCCCCTTGAATATTACTGATGTATGTACACATGTATTTACCTCTGAAAATAAAGCTATGATCTACTTAAGTGACTTCAGTGTTATTGCTGGCCCCTTGTAGACTACTGATGTATGTATGTATTTACCTCTGATACGCTTGTATGTGTACTGCCCATGCCCATGGACAAGGGACTGTCTGGGTCAGTTGGGGCACTAGAGCTCTGCATAGTCATCCCGCCCTGAGGCTGCATGCTTCCAATCCCAGAGTTGAAGATCGGAAGAGACAACATCGTGCTGGGTTTCCCCAAACTCTCGCTGATATACATCTCCACTTGTCGTTTCTGGTTTTGTTGGACGTGATATTTTGTCGGATTCTCAAGCTTTGTCTTCACCTGGAAGCAAATAATATTTCTATCAACCTATTTCTTTTTTCAATGTGTTCAGTTCATACTTCTCTCTCAATGAATTTTGTTTTATATATTCTCTTACTCCTTAGAGTTGACTGATTGTGTTATTTAGAAGAGATCCAGTAATGAAATGATTTAATTCAGAATTTTGCAGCTAATTGGAGAGTTCAAAACCATCAATGTGAAATAACTAGCTGTCATCCAAAGTTTAACAGGGTGGGAAAAATAAAATACATGACGATTCTTCTGAAGCATAGCAACATAAAAGATGAAAGTTCCATTCATAAATCACCAAATTAGCCATATTTTCTGGGATGTGCATATATTATCCTAGCTCAGTTAAGATACTACCAATTTTTTATTTTCCCAAATAAATTAATAAAATAAAACAAAAGACAAGTCTAACAGGTTCTAAAAGGTTTGAAGAAAGAAAAGGGTTCTGCAGTACCCCTGAAATATATGTGCCTTTCAAAACTTACATCTAAAAGTTTAAGTCATCAAATTATCAATTATTAAATTCAATGTACAGTGTACAATAATACATGTAAAATAGATACATGTTCAAACCCCAAATAATCATTATAAAATCCCCAAATTGCTTACCCTTTTCTCCCTTTGAACTTTCCTAATATCGATTGTTAATCTGGTAGGCATTTTAGCATATGATAACTGTTTGGCAGGAAACAAAGCCAAATTACCATTAATTTGTATAATCCACAATAATTTAATTCTAAATGATGATGATTGTGCATATGTGGCAATTCAAGCTTATCTCGTCCCGCATGCTAGGATCAACTTATTTCAATTTTTTTTGAATACACTGATTATGAAAACAGGTAAATGCTATCATAAGTACAGTGACATCCCTTGCATTAATAGGGTAGTAGGACATCTACAGTGTATAACATAAAAATTAATACAAAAATAATGACAGTGATACGTGTACTTATGTATCACCACTTTAGATAAAGAGATATCAGAATTATTTCTCATCAATATTAAGTTGTGATATGTTCCTCATTGAATGATACCAAAAGTAGAATTTCCCACCCTTTCACAATAGACATATAAATGTTTATCAAATTATTTCTAAATTAAATTGAAATTAGCCTCATAATTGGTCAATACCTTTAACACTATTGAAACAAATCTACAGGTAGGTTTAATGCAATTAATTTTGAAAGGAATACATCAAAAAAGAAAGTGTTTTTTTTAAAACAGCAAGAAACCTGTCTCAGATGTCTTTAACTGCAACTAGAAAATACACGATCAATTAATAATTTTACTCCCTGTACTAAACGAATAAAGTTACCCGTGCCTTTACTGCATTTTATACACCTGCATTAACCCTCACCTTAACTATCAATTGTAATATCAACACGCTATCATTTTAAAGCAGTCGAGAGCACAGCCTCAGGAATGATTGCTACAGAGGTTATTGTTTCATGTAAGTGAATAGAGATCTCCCAAGTTTAGATTTCTTGGAGCCATGCATTAAACTGTATGTATCACATAAGCTTCTAAACTGAGGCATAGTACATCCCTTTAAATGCATCTACCATTTTGTTATTGCTAAAAAGAAACTTTGTCCCACTCTGGATCGTAATGAGCCAAAGATTGCACTAAAAATGGAGATTTGGAAAAATCATGAGATTTCACTAAAATATATAGCATTATGTGCGATTCTATCAACTTTTTCATAGCAACTTCAGTCTGTCCTGGAAAGTGCCCTGAAATATGATACAATGGAAGATCAACATACACCTGTTAATGTGTTTGTTTGTCTTTGAATTTAAGGCTGTGTTGGGAGGAATTGTTATGCTTTATAGTCATACTTACATGAAAAACCTGAGCTGGGACTTCAACATTGTTAGCAGGAGGCATAGATATTGCATTTGTCGGTGAGACTTGAGACTTTGGGAGAGATTGTGAGATATTCTGTTGTTGTTCTTTTCTCTCAAGCTCTTGCATGTGCTGTTTTTGGATTTGTTGTTTTAGGTTTGTTCTGGTTGCCATGGAGTTTACGTTCTTGACCTCCGCAGGGCTGCAAAATAAAATGGAATAGTTAGTTATAATCTGACAGAATGGTTAGCAGCAACAGAATGGTTAGCAATGTTAGAATGGTTAGCAACTATAAAAAAGAAACTTCGGTGACAAAAATTAATAATGATTAGTAATAGAATGGTTTGCAATAAAACAGAATGGCAACAAACACAGTTATACGAGCATATGATTCCTTACTCCTTCATCTTAATTTGTCCAATAATCTTCATACTGCGTCGTCTCCCTTTTAAAGTCATCGTTCAATGTAATCCTACAGCTAATATGTGTAAACCACTTTGTAAGTATATGGTACTAAAATCGCATCCCTATCATAAGAACCTTCAGTTACAGAGATGTCTTTTTGCATCAAATATTTCTTAAATTGTTCAAACTTTAGGGAAGTTGTTTTTGCTAATCCTTCTATATGTGAGAAGCTCTTTGCGATAAAGTCAAAAGTTGTTCTAGTCTGTCTTTATTGCAGAGACATAAAATATACAAGTCTATATCTTATGCCACAGTTTTGCTTTCTATATGGTTTTACTTAAAGACGAAAACAATTCTAAGTGCACAAATGTTTAACATATGGAATGGTATATGTTGTCCTTAAAAGTCCTTCAAATCATAACAAACAAACAACCAAGAGATATCAAGTTATTAAGTAGACTTTGAAATTAAAATCCTTGGCATTTTTCCTTATTTGCATTTTACATGTTATTCTCCTATAAAATATAAATTTACTTCATTGTTAGTGAATGAAGAAACAAGGTTTAACTTCACATGTTGAGAAGATAAATCTTCGTCACTTGTATTCAAAATAAAGTCTTTACAAAAAGTGATCCAAGGGGATAGACAGGCGCTTTAAAATATATAGGAAATGTACTATATAAGTTATATGTTATGAAATAAAGAAATTAACCTAAATCAGTGTTATAAAAACATTGATTTGAAGAGAGGTTTTATAATTCACATCCGCCAAGTATATAATTAGTTTAATTTATAAACAAAGTTCTACATTGATTAATGACTAAACGATGGCGAATTTTGAGCAATAATTAATGATTTACTGATGAGAGTAATAAAAATTACTTATAAGTGATAGCATATAAAATAAGATGAAAATAAACATCCTAGTGCAAACGTTTTACCTTTTGATATAAGATAAATCAAATTTTTTATAATTTCAATAAATGTATAATATAGGATTTAAATTGAGTGATTGAATATGTTTTAAGTTTTAAGCATAAAAATAAAACCTTACAACCAGCATGCATATTTACGCTCACTTTCCCTCCTTTCTATTTTATTCAAATTTTATTTATTAGGATTTATCAAAAAGTGTTTTACTATCATTTTTCTTAATATATTACCTGTGCCAACCATTCCACCAGTATGTATAAGGAGTGTTATATTCGTAATTTGCATTCCAGTTATTGTTATTATTCACCCAGGTCTGTTCATTTTCATAACAACAGTCGTAATTCTTATACTCCTGATTTTCCCAAACTGGTGAAAGTTTGTATGGTCTGTATCGGTGCATTTTCGCATGACTCCCTGGATAAATTATTGGTTTATCATCGCTCAACATTTTGTTTGATATTAAAATTATCTTCACTTTTTTTTAATTTCAATTGTTAAAAATTCTAATTAAATTGCATTGTTCTGAAAATCTGCAGACTTTTTTGAAATATAGTATTTTGTAACATCTACATGAACTTCAAGCAAATAATGAAAGTTACTATATGTGTCTTACTTATATAGAGAATGGTCGCACGCGTCATTTGCATATAACAATATTTTGCCCAAGGCTTGAATCACATCACGAATTATAATAAAAGTTGTTAATTGGTTGAACTGAAGGGGGCATGTGTTCGTTTTGTTTAGACATATATTTCTTATCCTCTTACTCATATTTGTATATTCTCAGAAATTGCAGTTTTAGCTCATGGAAGAAATAGCATATAAGGTGCACTACAAAAAAGACAAATAATTGGAATTAGTGAGGAATAAAGTTGAAAAATGCAACGTCCATATTCAATATTACATATAGTCTAATAGAGATATCAGAAAATCTGATACTTCATTCAAAATTCAAAAAGAAATTGAATGAAAAACTGCATTCAGCATTCTAATTTCAAGCAGGGGACATGTGTCTTCTGCAGGCCTATACAAGAGCAATTCTGGAAAAGTACCATTTATGGCTATCTTTAAATCTTTTTGTTATCCCTGATGTTTTAATGTTTATTGACGGAGCAGCTGAAATCGTCCTTATAAATAAAGTACATTTCAGTGAAAAATGTTTCTCGGCAAAAAGTAGGAACGTTTTCTTTGGAAATGGTCACCTCTTAACTGGACAATAAGAAACACAAAAATGAAAAGCAGCTGGATAAAACACAAAAATTATTAGAGAAATTAGAAGAGTGAAATTTCCATGCAGTCTTCATGTAATCTCTATTTGGCTTGAATTCAAAAATAAGTGTGCACACAGCCAGTAGCTATCTACTTTGATAATAAAGCTACAGACCCGGGCAATGACTAATTTTTAATTAACACTTTACATATGTTTTATATAATTGCAATGATCCATGTATCACTATATAGTATGTCTAAGACTTAGTCAAAACTGCACATGTGTCAAACTAGTTAAATATAAACTTGATTGACGAATGAGTCACAGTTGCATTCCAATTTTTAACATTTCAACCTGATAGCATCTTTTCTACAACTTAACTTCCAAAAGTATAACCATATAAAGCCAAAGCGGTTCAAAACTAAAACTACCAGTGAGCCTCAGTTTAGGGGCAAGGCAGTAGCTGCTAGCGGGGGGGGGGGGGGGGCAAGACAGTAGCTGCTAGCAAGGGGGGGGGGCAAGGCAGTAGCTGCTAGCGAGGGGGGGGGCAAGGCAGTAGCTGCTAGCAAGGGGGGGGCAAGTCAGTAGCTGCTAGCAAGGGGGGGGGGGGCAAGTCAGTAGCTGCTAGCAAGGGGGGGGGCAAGACAGTAGCTGCTAGCAAGGGGGGGGGGGGGCAAGGCAGTAGCTGCTAGCAAAGGGGGGGCAAGGCAGTAGCTGCTAGCAAGGGGGGGGCAAGGCAGTAGCTGCTAGCACGGGGGGGGGAGATTGACATATAATTATAAGTGCACCAACAAGATGGTACAACAGCTATAAAAACTGATACACCAGTACCCCTGAAGTTTCCCAGGACCGATGAATTTATGGGTTCTCAAAACATCTAAATTAGGTTGTACTATATAAGCAATGCCCTAAATCAGCCACCTGTTTACAAGGAAATCTATCTATTGTTTTCTAATTTGGGCTCCCTGAAAGTTTTATGACACCTCTATAAACAATCCATGGATATATTTACTTCCTCATTTTAAAGTCTACTAGTAATACGCTACAACATACATATATATTAAGTATATAGACACAATGGCACTGACCTGTGACCAATGAACAACCAAAACAAGGATTGCTTGACCTTTGTATGATTAGGTCAAGGAAACGCCAGACTTATATAAATAACTTGACTAATGAATAACCTGATCAGAGAATAACTTAACCAGGGATTAACCTAGCGATGAATAACTAGAACTCGATCAGGGAATAACCAAACAATAGAATACCTTGACCATGGTTTAACCGATGAATACCAAAACAATGAATAACCTGATTAGAGAATAACAAGAGTCAAGACCAAACAACTTGATCAGCGAATTACTTGACCAACACCATGAAACTAAAAAAAAAACAATCATTGATAGACCTATTGCTTATTATTCATCTATTTCTATGAAAAATAAATAACAGCATTATAACCAATCAACACAATTGTCCCATGTATTCAAGAATTATTACAATCCAAAACCATCCATGATATAAATATTGTTAAGCCGAAAAGCCCACTAACATGGGAGGCAACTAATAGATGACCAGTATTAGTATATAAAACGTATACATCATTGTTGACTCACAGTGAGGTTACATTTGTAGTGCTTGATGCTTTTAATTGTCCAAAATTAAAATGAATCATTATTTGTGGTTTGAGACCTAGATGTATTTAGTTTCAGGGATGTAGAGAAATGATTTCATATCACGCCTGTGGTTTAAAATGGCACTTATATCAACGACCCTAATATCGACTGAGAGACACCAGTTTTTGGCATGACTTTGTTAGTTATACCAAGATTCCACACTTATGCCTCAAACTATATGTAATGGTAATTACTTGTACACAGGTTTAAAACTTCTTCAGAAATATAAATTTTCAATTAATTCTATTACTGGTAATAGTAATGGTAATGTTAGTCTAGTAATGGTAATTACTTGTACACAGGTTTAAAACTTATTCAGAAAACATAAATTTTCAATTAATTCTATTACTATCATCTATAGATGGCGACTGTGTATGGTTGAAAACCTCTATTAATTTTCATTTTTTAGAGATATGAATATCAATAGATAGATGGCAGCGCAAAACTTTATTTTATTACACTCTGTATTCGAGTAACAAATAAATATTTCATGAATGTTGAATTTATACTTCTACAAACAATCCGATAATGTAAGAACAGAATTAAAAAAAAACATAATTAAGCATAAAAAACACCCCAATGAGCCATATCAGCAACATTTTCTTTGTAAGGTTCATAAGCAGGCTTTATATACATAAACCAACTCTACAGTCTACAGGAGTTATGTTAAATTATATCATAGAACTGATATATGATTGTGATACCTATAATCTCTATACAACAAGTAAATAGAAATAATCAGTCATTTATTATGTACATGTACTTTTATCTATAAGGTCATTGCAAGTCACTGTAACAAACATGACAGACACGAGGGGAGAAATCACATGTTGTAGCTGTCCAGGGAAATGTGCACTCCCTAGTATCTGAGAAGTAAAATAAAATATCTTAATGGAGATAGACAATTCACAATAAAATCAAAATAAAATTAATATATCGTCATTTTGAGGCATCCTACGAAAAACTTGAAGATGCGAACACTTGACTTCTCAAAAGTGAAGTGTTATTTGTTAAAACTTAAAAATACAACTTCTGAATATCAGTTTACTAACATTATGCATCTTGATCATTCCCCTATTGTAGACATGGAGCACCTGAGTGTTTGCCCCTTCCCTTTGAAGCTCTTTGAAATGCTTGGTTACATATATTTTAATATAATTTTCTTCCTGGATCACTCCTTTGAAATGAAGAATTCTGCAAGTGGAATAAGTGAATTTAACAATGGGAAAATGAAAATTCCGAAGGAGCTTCACAGGATTTCTCAGCATTTTTTATGAAAAAAATATTGAGACAGATATAAACAAAACTGAATTGAAGGTAGGCCTATACATAATATGAGGCCTATGAGCCATGCTTCTATCTAGCATTTAAGAGAATGTGACAATTTTGATTTTTAGGCTATATTTGGGGGTGATTTCTCCAGGTTTTTGACTGCACAAAGTTAAAAATCACTGTGGTTAGACGGTTATTCCATGGGCTTTCTGTTGGAAGCCCATGGTTATTCATACAATCAGAAAATATTCCAATTCTGCAAATTGATCAAAATTCAAGATTCGGGCTGCAATTCCTGAAGGTCAATTCTGTTTCAATGCTCTGCCAATGCCAAATCCTATAAGAGGATCGAGTGAAAGATATACATGATCAGTCTTGCAACAAACTTTTGAAGTCCCCATTTATCACACATAAGATAACAGAGATTGATGGAGAACAGCATGCACAGTATGTTGTAAATTCAAAGCTGCATTATAGTATTTTCTTTTTTGTTATGAGACAAAAAATAAATCACAAGGAAAAAAAGTGTCATGAACCTTACTATGAAACAAGAAGGAAGCTGATTAAATTTCTATAAATGTGTCAAAACTAAATTCTTAACATCCTCTATCTTAAATTAAAGAGTCAGATTTTTGAACTTTGTGGCAGATGTGAAGACACCCTCGTAATAAATCATGTCATGAGATGTGATCATAACCTAACATTAAATCCTAAAATAAGAAACCGCAATTGTGTCTTTCCATCTTTCTTAGAAATGAAAATGAAACATCAGCTCAAGTTACACTATTCTATATTGCAATGGATTCTATTTCTGCTGATTCACTCACTCATTATAGTTGGTCACAGTGGTTAGAGGACATTAATGAAGAAATGCACACAAGAATCACCGAAAATTCATGACAGTGTTCTCCTTAAGTGCTATGTGGAACAACCACTTGCTTCAAGTTACATGCAGTTCCACTCCTCTCGTTTCTCCAATGATTCTACAAATGTAAACCTGATAGAAATATTTGTCAATAATGACTGATTTCTAGTGAAGATCAAATTTTTGTGAGCAAAGAATTATTACAGGAATTTAAAAGTGGGATCTTAGACACAAGGATCCATAGATTTCGCCGACAACCTTCTCCTTCTGGAGCCAATAGTTTAATTGCAGACTAAGAACAATTATACATAGCAAGAGCATCATGATATTGTCATTTCAATTCTTTTCAGCTGTGAACCATTTTCAGGCCCGAACTCCCCCCCCCCCTTGCCAAAATTTCTTTCAAAATCATGCACTTTTTCACCATTCTGACTATTTTTTGAGTGATTTTTGGCCAAAGTTGTCAAAGTGAACCCCCCTAGAATTTTGGGGAAAAGTGAACCCCCCTTGAAAAATTCTGGCTAAGGGCCTGTTGCTTGAGAAAAACATGGGCATTCAATAGAGGATGCGATGAGTATCAGATTGAAACGATCAAGTTAAAACCCTTACATTAAACATATCAGACAATTTGCTAGATCCAGCTGACTTGACAATGAACTTCCAAATCGCAACCACAGACTTGATGAAATTTGTGTAAACTTAGTATTTTGATTATTCTAGTTGCTCACTTTGAGTTAACGGCTGTAATGAACTTGCTTTAGGGCTCTTTAATGAGTACCACACTGAAAAAACTGTCAGGGTCATATCGATTATGATTACTCACTTCGAGAGCCATGTTAGATTTTGAAACTTATGGCTCTCAAACGGAGAAGTGAACAGCTGATCAATAGTGACCTTTGAAATCGATTTAAGTCGACCAGCGGCTTACTTTTGGTCTCTAACTGTGTCTTACATCAGTATCATCAATCCGTGTAAGTATTGGAGCGCTGGAGTACTTTTTCGATCAAGACTTGTAAATTGTTCATCGAGTGAAAGTTTTTAGGCCTATTTCCAATATGGCGGTTTGCTAGGTGCGAGATACGCAACGAACAAAATGAATTTTGAAAATTAGTTAGGTTCGGACAACCTCCGGAGATTTACGAAAATGTCCGAGCAGAAACCGCCATATTGGAATTTGGCAGTAAAACAATTCACTCGACTGACAATTACAAGTCTTGATTGAAAAAGAAGTACTCCAGCGCTCCAATACTAACACGGATTGATGATACTGATGTAAGACACAGTTAGAGACCAAAAGTAAGCCGCTGATCGACTTAATTCGATTTCAAAGGTCACAATCATTGAGCTGTCCAAATGCTCCGTGGGAAAGCTATTATATCAAAATCCAAATGGCTTTCGCAGGAAGTAAGATTATGAGTCTTTATGATACATTTTAACATGCAGTGATCCCCAATGGGTTTTTACATAGACTGATATGAAGGAATTGGTAAGTATCCATGTAGTATTGAAACGACAGGTGTTTACAAGTCAACTATATGTAACTAGGTCAATATGATGACTCATTACATGGCATGTTTTCTGTACCCTGGTTGCTGGTATATAATCTAGCCCGCATCTAGATCTGGTTCTACTCCGCCTTGACAACACTGAACGACTATACATATTCCATTCATTGATACCTCGGTTATAGGATCTGCAAGTTTGTTTGACGAATAGTAAACTGAAACAAAATACGGCGCAAAATATCAGGAAAACAAAAAAAGAAAAATTTACCTTCCCAGAACAGGCTGACTTTTTATCTCGTAAAAACTGCCGACGTCACTCATCAATGGATCTTCTCCCATCTCCAGAAGACTGTCAAAGTCTAGGGAGATGCCTGATTCACTCATTGGAACGATTTAATATGTGAATAACGTAGATTTGTTAGAAAAATCGTAACTTTTTTATTTTTCTCCAAAATGGGGTTCCTTGGCAGATCTACCACGTGACCAATCGTAGCTATTTGATTGGTTTGTAATGACGTCAATCCTATGATTAATTTACTCAAAATAGATTTTCTGGGGATTCCCAGACCAAAAGGTTATTAAAAATTAGTTTCACTTTCTTCTGCTATATCCTAGATGTTAGAAGTGTCTATCAAAATGATCCTAATTAAATCCTAGGGTAATTTTTCTTTTTAGATTTAACAAAAGAGGAACATGTGTATGTTGAACATGTTCTTATCTATAGCTGTCATGAGACGTCTGTGTGTTTTGAAGTTCACACTTGTGACTGCTTAGTTTTATCACTTGACCCCAGATAACAATTGCATTGTTTGACACTACTATAGTAAGCATAGTATTAATTATCGAAGGCCAACAATATCGATGCAGATCTAGACTTCAAAGGTTTTGAATAAGTGCACTGATTGGTGAAGAAGAGATCCAAAGTGGAGGCGATGGATCTGAGGTCTTTGCCCTCTACACAGCCCAATCTGGAAATTAACAAGCAAGGGGGGGGGGGGGGGCATGGGGCAAATTTCAAGTCTGAAAAATCTATATAAAATCTAAAAAACTACCGCTCCAAATTACATGCATATGAAGTTAAGTCACTCAATGTTCATTTCTAAATACACCAAAAATTAGAAACATTCAGTAAAGAAATAAACCGAAAATAAAAATGAATAATCCTTGGATGAATTGGAAGTTATTCAAAATGTGCAAATGTTTTTCGAAAGGCAATTTATTTAAATACTGTACATGTATGTTATACTATATTGATAGTGAAAAATTACAAGCTGTTTTTACTGATTTATATTATATTCTATGATCAGAAATAGGGATTAAGTAGTTAAATGATGTGTTCTCAGATGTTCCACCATAAAAGTAAAAATAGATGTGACTTTTAATGCATTTTGATTTAAAATAACCCTGAAGTCTTCAGTCAGCAAACAGAAAGGGGGTGTAGCTTACCATAATGCTTTAAATGTTAAAGGAGCATTCTTACCATTCTGTTGGTGAGAGTAAATCAAGAAACATCATTCCTCCAGCCTGCTTATTCAAGTCCTCATTAACTTTTTTGAAAAATATCTTATTATTTTGAAATATCCAGCTGAGGGTGGTTAGGTAATGCTTTGGTCACATTTGCTCCGATTTTCATTACGGCGCCCGGCCGATTGAGTATTTTGTTCAAAATTGAATACAATATTGAGCAAAACACTCAATCCGCCGCCCGATGGATCGGAGCAAATGTGACCCAAGCATTAGTGGTTGCAATTTGCAGTTTTACAACCCCTACTGTAGTAGATTCTAACTGTTATTTTTCCAGCATTACTTTAACTTTCTTTTCATGGTAAGATGATTTAGAACTTCTATTATATGACTTTCATCAGGACATGTATGTATATCCTAATAAAAGAGCTACAATCATATGAGATATGTGTAATGAATTCTAAAATGAAAACCTTGGAATATTAAGTACATGAAGATTACGAGTCTTAAAGTAAGACATTAATTAAACAATATATAAATTATCAAATAATTTTATCAATAGCACAATGTATCCTGTTGAAACAATAGTACATTAGTTTGCTGGTTAATATACTTTATTAAAGGTGCTACAAATAGTGCAGGGGGGCCATTCAACGATCATCGACAAGTGTCAAAATATATTTAGGTTTGGATATTTCATCAAGACTAACATATATTTTCATTATCTACAAAGAAATCCTCTGGATGAACATTATTTCAGCTGATATTCCTCTTGAAACATGGTGGATCTTAAAAATCTATAAGTGGGACTCCCTTTATAGAAGCTTTGAATTGAATTTACACTTCTTAATGCTGAAATTAATAGTTTATACATACATTTTATGAAAATAGGTATGTCAAAGAAGGTATTAAGCCAAATATTGACCTGATAGCTCAGAAAAAATAAAAATTTTCGAATTTTCTCTCTACAGTCCTTATTGCCCCTTTAAATATATTCGAAATTTAAATAACTGAAAAAACATCAAGTTTCTTTAAGATTTTCTCGATGTTAAAAATTTGTAATTTTTTCGAATAAAGTTCATTGAGTTATGATACAAGGGTGCTGTGTTGTATATACAACACTCATATCAGTAGCTGACAATGCTCACTGCTACCATTGTTTTAAGATAGTACTTGATATGCTCTTACACATAAATAATACATCTTGACATTCATGTCTTGGACTGGAGAATACAGAGAGAAAGAGCGAAATTAGCAAGGAATAAAGTAAATAGACACGCAGTGCATACTTTAAATTGTATATAAATGCAAAAAAAGAAAATCAGATAATTCATTCAAATTTTTGAAAGATTAACATGTAAAAGCATTAACTTAGTGATAACTTATGTATGGGTTAAGATCTTCTCTAAATACTTTATGTCATTATACATAAGGCCCATACAAGTTACTATCTGTTTTAAAGTTATTTTTAAAACACATGTACATGTAATTCAGCGACCAGGTGTTTGTAACTTAGTTCCACTTTAAACTTGTAAAAGTGATAGTATAATGTGACTGTCATTAAATAAGTCTTATTGAAAGAAAACCCCTAATTTCCTGTAAGGTAAGATATTTGATTGACAGTTCAGTTATTGAATCGACCCAAAGGGCAATGTCAAACAAACAATTAATTTACAAGGGCCTAAAATATTTGGGTCAAGTACAGGTTACTTGTAATCTGTTTTGGATGATGTATACTCAACAAAAAAGGGGTGTGAAATTGCAATATCTCCAACCCCCTCCCCCTTATCCCCTATCACTGACACAGGTGTGTTGTGGGGGGGGGGGGCTCACGGGGGTTTGTAGCTAGACTAAATTGACAGATCATTGCCTGACTTTGAATCAATCCTTTTGGGTAGTAAGAACAAATATAGCCTTACCTAACTATACATGTCTTGTTGTTCTGGAGAAGACTTCTGAGCAGAATATGGTCTTTGCCTTGTTTATTTTTAGTGATAACATAGACTGCCTTAGGGTTCAATGATGGCATGCTGTATGCTTCTAATGGACGGTTTCCTCACTTTCCTTCCTGGTTTTGGTATTATTTATGGACTGTTTTTCGCTTGTTATTCTATTATTGTTGTATATTACCCTATCTTCAACAGTTGTCCTTGTATAGATCGTTATCCTCTTTATTCAGGCCGAATATTTTATTCCGGAAAGACCATCTCAAAACTGATTGTTCTGAAAAGAGCCTAAAGGGTTAATTATAATATACAGTATATTCACTTTCTCTTTCCACACTTAGTACATTTCTAGATTTCCAAGATATATATAATCAAGGAAGTAATTGTGTAAAAATGCTTTTTCAGGAAGTTATTTACTGTTTGTGTTTTCTGTTTCTCTTTATGTATTTCCAGGGTCATTTAATGTAGGTGTAAAAATCATATTATTAAGATATGTGAGTGTATGGTAAATACGAATTTGGAATATCATGATTCGTTCACAAGTGGATGAAAAGTGCCTCTTGAATGCACCATGGTAGTGTATTTTCATTTTCTATGTAACCATGGCAACCACAAAAACAGAAAATTCTAAATTCATGATCTACTTCAATAAAATGTTGAATATTGCAATGTTAGTGGCATATGTGGAATATGATGAATATACATTGCATTTTAAATATATATTTTTCTTTATTCTACACACTCATATCTGAATATCCAAGCTAAATATTGTACATCCAGTTTAAGAATTTGCAGAGTCTTACAAACAATGTTTTATAGGGATTGTTTTGATTCATAATATTGCCCTTTGTGCTCTTGATCCGTTGGTTAGTGTAAAATTGCACAACCATGATTTATGCCACTTGGCCGAGATTTAAATGTGAGCAGATGAAGTATTGTTCACATTGAACAATATTGATCGTATTTGATGTCTTCTTCCGCCCACACATTGAATGCTTCTTTTATTTGTTTGAAACAGAAAACAGCCTCAAAATTGCAGTAAATATAATTAAAGTTGATTATGCAAAATTAAGAATGTGCAAAATAAAAATACTTACCATAACATTTTGCAGTATTCAAATTCAAGAGTTTTGGAATTTGCAAAGTTTGATATCCTCAATCCACATTTAGGCCAAAATTATTTCACTAGCAAAATAAACCCAAGGACAAAACTGCATTATGTATTCCCCAGACAAAAAATCATATTCTAAAATGCAAAATACATAATGATGTGTCGAGGTCTTGAAAAGCGAACTAAGCAAGTATGACCTGCATTCTCTAAATAGTACAAAAAGGCAGAAAAATATGTGATTTTATCAAATTTAAGTGAGGAATGTAAAGGAATAAGAATGAGCAAATGACATTTTAGGCAGGGTTAAATATCAGGACATCATTGTATTGAGATACTGAATGGGACAAATCTAGTGAACTTTGTTTTGTATCAAGGGTCCTCATAATACTCTATAAGAAGGTGCTATCTCTACTGTCAGATACAAACATAATAGGTCTACTGTCAATCTGAGATATGATACTACACAGATAATAGCCAAATATGAATTTCATTGTCTATACTACTCCAGTTCCCATAGTCCCCTTAACAATGATCCTCATAAATAGGCCTACAAGATCATTCCTCTCAGTCAACCTCAGATATGATACTACATAATTAATAACCAAACATGAATTTCATTGTCTATACTGCTCCAGTTCCCATAGTTCCCTTAACAATGATCCTCATAAATAGGCCTACAAGATCATTCCTCTCAGTCAACCTCAGATATGATACTACATAATTAATAACCAAACATGAATTTCATTGTCTATACTGCTCCAGTTCCCATAGTTCCCTTAACAATGATCCTCATAAATAGGCCTACAAGATCATTCCTCTCGAGCTTTTCCTAGAGGTGTTAATTTTCTATTTCTGTTATTTAAAAATATATCACCATTGTCGTAAGGGTTAGCATGGTATATCCTTAATAGCCAAAAATCAATTTCATTGTCTATACTGCTCCAGTCTCCATAGTTCCCTTAACGATGATCCTCATAAATAGGCCTACAAGATCATTCCTCTCAGTCAATCTCAGATATGACACTACACAATGAACAGCCAAACATGAATTTCATTGTCTATACTGCTCCAGTCTCCATAGTTCCCTTAACAATGATCCTCATAATAGGCCTACAAGATCATTCCTCTCAGTCAATCTCAGATATGACACTACACAATTAACAGCCAAACATGAATTTCATTGTCTATACTGCTCCAGTTCCCATA